TTTACCCCATTACCCTGTGGGAGTTGTTGTTGTAGTTCAATGTAGTTAAGGTACGGCACGACTGCCAAACTCGAGCGTATGGTTGTCACTGCCATGCACAATGCAGAGGGCTTTGGTTTGGAATGATGCCAATCAGCTGGCCCAGCCGCACAGAAGATCTGTGCCGAAAAATGGCTGGCGCCGAAGGGTGGTTGCACTTCAAACTGGGTAAATTCCAAGATCTTCAATGTGAAGGTTCATCGGGATACTGCGGGTACCTCCATCTTCTTTGATACCGCATTTGCATCGGTGAACATTCATCTATTGCGCACCAAGTCACTCAGGTTCTGATCCACAGTTAAGATGTTAAAAACATTTAAAAACAGGATCACCAAGGATTGCCATTACTTCCGCAGTCAATGCAAGTTGCTAAGATGAGTATCTCAGAAAATTATGAGGGAGATGGCCCAGACCTTGTTTGCACATTTGTGTCCCTGACAACCCAAGAATCAAAGCGCCGAAGCCTGTATCAAGACCGGAAAGGGCTGCTGGAAAGTAGTCAGCCAAATTTCACGCATTGTGATATGGTAACCGGTAACCCTCACAAAATTGCAAAACTATTCAAATAAAACCGAATAAATAAATAAATATATATATATATATATGTCTACAAGATTCAAGATGGACAGATTGATATTACTTATATGTTTTATAAGCAATAATGGCGGATAGCATGAATGATGAGTACAAGGGCGCAGTCCAAATTCATCCAAATTCACTTTTGGTGGGTTTCTCAAAATGGGAATCCCCAAAACCATGGGTTTCGGAATGCTAAGTACTGAACTTGTCTTATTATGCATGATTTGAGAGTAACACCATTTTTAGGAAACCTCTTAAGTATATTCAAATATGAATAATCCAATATGAAGAAACATATGAATGATCCAGTCGCGAGGCACCAAGCCCCGAACCCTCCACCAGGACGCCAGGCTGGGTGGTTGATGGTTAAGATATGTTACGATAGATTCCTTTGTGAAGTAAGTATGTATTGTTTATAATACTTCTAAAGTTCCATGACTATACGTTACTATACATGTAATTATATAACAATTCCGATCATTCCATTTCAAACAGATGTAGAAATTGTAAGATAGTCCTGGACAATCCCTACCTATTCAACTGTGATATTAAAAATTACTTTGCTTCGTGTGATCCCCACCATGACATTTATACATTTTGTTACTGGCAAATCTTCTGGCATTCTATCTGACATATTTTCTGGCATTCGATCTGGCATTCTATCTGGCATATCTTCTGGCATTCTACCTGGCATATCTTCTGGCAGATGTTCTGGCATATCTTCTGGCAGATGTTCTGGCATATCTTCTGGCATATCTTCTGGATGTTCTGGCATATCTTCTGGCATTCTATCTGGCATATCTTCTGGCAGATGTTCTGGCATTCCATCTGGCATTCTATCTGGGCATATCTTCTGGCATATCTTCTGGCAAATCTTCTCTCCATCTGGCATTCTATCTGGCATATCTTCTGGCATTCTATCTGGACAATCTGCTGGCATTCTATCTGGCAAATCTGGCATTCTATCTGGCATATCTTCTGGCATTCTATCTGCATATCTTCTGGCAATATTCTATCTGCATATCTTCTGGCACTTATCTGGCATATGGTCGCTTGAGGTCCGGCAGGGAACACTGGGCGCGGATACTCGCGGTTGAGGTCCGGCAGGGAACACTGGGCCGGATGGTCGTGGTTGAGGTCCGGCAGGGAACACTGGGCGTGGCTGGTCGTGGTTGAGGTCCGGCAGGGAACACTGGGCGTGGATGGTCGTGGTTGAGGTCCGGCAGAGAACACTGTGGATCGCGGGTCGCAGTTGGACGAGGACGACGAGGACGACGAGGACGACGAGGACGACGAGGACGACAAGGACGACAAGGATGACAAGGAGGACGAGGAGGACGAGGAGGAGAGGAGGAGGAGGAGGAGGACGAGGCAGGAGGCAGGAGGAGGCAGGAGGAGGCAACTGACATAAAATCTAACAACCCTCACCTGGCAGGTGGGGAAATATAACAAGACAATGCATACAGTAGGAACCCACGGTAATTCAAATCGATTGGGGTCATCTCATGACATCATGACACATCATGCCATATTTTTTGAACCCTCCTTCTCAGCTCACAGAAAGTAGAATCAACCCAGACAAAATCGAACCAACCCAGTTGAACCTGGAAAAGGATGGTGAAAATGCCAAGTCTCTACTGAGAGGAACTCCAATGTGTTTTTCTTTCCCTTGGGAGACTTGCAGAATCTCTCATAGTGACGTAGTGTTGGAGGCTCAAAATCTTTGTTTTTCCTATAGATTTTCAGACTTCCCCGTGACTTCCCCTGTCAGATTTGTTTTTTTTGCGCCTCCTGAGCCAGGCTCTGCCGCGCACGAGGCTGCTGGGCCCCACATGGATGGCTTGGAGGTCTCTGCCATGGCACAGCTCAGGCAGGGGGCAGCTGGGAGCACCTAGCACTTCTACTTAGCCTAGGGATCCTAGGGGTTTGAACCCAGAACAAGGTGTAGGGGCAAAGGTTTGGGAAGCCCTGGCAAAAAAAAAGACCAATTCGAACCCAGCTCTCCCCAGCTGTTCTTGGAGAAAAACCTTCCCAGCAAACCCAAAGGAAACGGGCCAAGAAAGCATGACCGAAACCTGGCGCCACAGGCAGTATGGCATCAAGAGCCCCTACCGCATCGCATGGAACGAGTCGGCGCCAGAGCTTCGAGGTTCTGCCAGATGGAGTGGGTCCTTTGGACCACGTGCTGAGACCGGACCAGGAGGGGCACAATTTGCAGCAGGTCAATCACAACCATCAAAACCAATGATGTAAATCTTACTTTGTTCCTGGTACAGCCAACCAACCAATAAACAAGAATAAACAAGAAGATAAGCAGCCCTTCCAATCCTTCCAAGCTGGTTCCACCATTGACCATGGACTCATTGATGATTGGATGTAGCTTGCAGGATCCAAGGAGATGCTGGCCATGGCTGCCATGGATCCAGCATCTCAGCTGCCGACCTCTGCAGCAAACCAGCGTGAAGTGCCGGAAGCTGCACCGTGCCCGGCGCCTCGACAGCACTTGGGGATGGATGAAACTTGGGAACTTTGATTTCCAGCATCATTCCGATTTTATAGGAAGGGTTCCAACATTAGTGGATCAGTTTGGTGGGATTTCCCAGGCGGATGCTGCGGAAGTCTTCACCTCGGGGCGATGCATGGTGGAGGTGGAACAACCTGACGCGCACTGGGCCAACATCTCCTTTGGGGCCCTGGCGGAAAATGCTGAGATGATCACTGGTGCAGTTAGCGCAGCTGGCGCTGGCAGAGAAGGTGAAGATGGTCTGTCCGGCAGCAGCTTGGAGCTATTTGAAGCTGTGTTGTTGGGTTTTTGGTGGGGGTGGGTGGGCAAAGACAGGGAAGCAAAACACAGCTTGAAACATCGAAAAAACAAGAGAGAGAGACAGAGAGAGAGAGAGAGAGAGAGGTGTGTGGTGTGTGGTGTGTGGTGTGACTCTTCGCAGGCTTTTAACCTAGAGCTTTCCAGATGGCAAAGTGCAGAGATCTTCGTGTGACTATTCTGTGTAGCACCAAGGCACAGGACTTTCGACCGGCCTAGGGAAAACATCTGAGGCTCACTGCACCGAACCCATTTTGATCGTTTGTCAGCGGTGTTTCCATGCGTTTCCCATGTGCCCAGCTGCATCGAGCTATATCAAGCTGCCATTGGCCCTTGTGGCAGGCCTCTAAGCTGCCGGAAGAGAAAGAAGTTTGCCAACTGCTGGAAGCGGTTCAGACGGCCTGCAGCCTGGCAGCACTGGTCTAGGGAGCTGGCATAGAATCCACCAAAAGAGACCAAAGATGGGACATTACGTGAGAATGCGTTCACCATCTTTCACCAAACGCAACACAATGGTGTGGCAGTTGGTGCTTTGAAGGTTTGTAGTGATGTATAGCGATAATCATGCTTGGAACATTACGAATACAGTCGCCTTTTGAGTGAAAGCAATGGGATGTCACCAGAAGAATTGGTTTGTAGCTGTATAGTGGGAAGCCCAACGTCGCCAGAAAGACATCCCGTGCTATGCGAATGTTTCATTTGGAAATTCAGCAGGTTTCCATGGTTTGATCCTACGGTAGCACAGTAACATACAGTCACAAAATTAGATACACCAACACACGCGAGCGAGAGATAGAGAGAGAGAATCCCCCTTGGAATTTTCTCCAGGAAATGGTGGTCCAGGACCCTTCGATTTTAGAGATCTGGGCTTTGGTTTCTTCAATGTTTGACAACTTGCACTCTTTAGAGGACAGTATCGGTCGTTATTTGACCTCACATGGTGGAAGCTGGAGGTTCCATTCTATAGACTTCAGGGTTATCAACCGGGATCACCTCTAAATTTTGATTTCCCATTCTTTAAACACCAGTTGTGTGTTTCCAAAAAAAACGAAGTTCCATTTTTTAGAACCAAAAAACTCTAAACTCTAAAGAATGGAACTTTGAAAGTTTTCAAGGTCGATCGCAAAATATTAAGAATATCTCTAAAGAATGGTATTCCGAAAGCCCATAACATTAACAAAATTTTCACATAATTTTACAACTTCTCTTTGTACCATTTTTTAAGGGAAAAAATGAGGAACAAAATGAAATTAAGCACTTTTCAAGCCAATCACCGGTTCCTCCATTTTATACCATTTTATAGACATGTCTTTGTTTGTAGGACCCTCGGAGGTTCCATTCTATAGAGATGGGGTTCCATTTTTAGAGATTTGTTATGATTTGGTCGTCCAGGCCCTCCGTTCTATAGCGCGTGGGGTTCCATGCTATAGATGTCCCACTTCTAGCCTCCCCCACGGACCACTAAAGAATGCTGACGCTCTCCCTTTTTACTTAATTCAAAGGGGTATGAGAGAGATATTATGTTTTTTTCCTATTATTATTATTATTAAATTATTATATATATATATGATATGTCTTATTATTATTTTATTATGACTCTATGACTTATTATTTATTATTATTATTAAAATTTAAGACAATTCAAATCAATTTCCAACCAGACATGGACAAATGGGTTGTACAATGAAGAAACCGTCCCCAGCCGGGCCACCGCATTACCCCCCAGTCTTGGACCTTGCTCAACGACTGGGCTCACAACGGGCCATTTGGAAGGGCCAGCAGGCAGGGTTCAGGGCCAAGGGTCTATGAACATTTTGAGAAGGGAAAACCTCCAGGAAACCATGGTACCATGATGTACCATGACATTCTTCCATTTACAAGAACAAATGTATTTGTGTAGGTGTGGCGGATATTGTTCTTCTTGAATCGTGTGAGTGGGTGTTAAGATGAAGGGAAGGCTGATGAGCCTAGACCAGCATCCGCAGGTTGTCTTTTTCTTGATTGTTGTTCACAAGGGCGGTATATCAGTAATTAATGTATGTAACTATATCAAAGATTTGACCCACACACATGAGGAAAACACGAAAATTCAGCCCTCTGCTCCCTATCATCCGAAAATTCCGTGCTCTGCTTGGGTCTCTTGTCTTGACCAGTACAAGCTTCTTGGGGTTATGGGTTGGATTCTCAACGGTCTCTCTCAGCCCAATTATCTCATTCTGGATCGAGGCTGTACACCATCCGTATACCCACCTGCACTCATCCACCGACCTCCGTAAAATCTTTTTGTGGGCCATCGGTCCGACTTGCAGTTCGTCGCTACCCAAAACTTGCTTTTGGCTCTAACCAAATGGCGGTCATGCCATCAAGATGTCCCCTGGAATGATAACACCCCTCTGATCAAATCTCTGCGCCACACATTGTCCAAATTCCAGCTTCGTTTTGATAATACAGGTCGTGTTACGTGGTCGTTGGGGTCGTGGTGTAATCATGCAACCGCCTTGCACACACTTGCTCAGAACAATCTTTGCGAATTCTGATGTGGAATGCATCTTACGTGCAAAAACACTCCAATTACACCTGAAAGGAATGGGTCCATGAAAAGACCCGAGAAAAATCGAAAAGTTACCATCGCCATAGCCAGTGTTAGATGGAAAGAGTTGGAAGCTGACACTTCCCTTTCAACAAAGCCAAATCGTTCCCACCTTGACAGATTGCGAAAACCGTGCGAAATTGCATGACCTAAAAACAAGTTGTTTGAAAACGGCATGGTGGTTCTTGGGTTAGCCGCTTCCCATGACCAGAAAGTAAAAGTTCGCAGGTACGTCGGGATGATCAGTCCCGACATCCTCCCAACTCATGAGAAGCTTCGTTGGCAGTGGCTCATGAGTGGGCCACTGCCCCCTGCTATGACTGACAAATTGACATGACACAGGAGTTTGAAAAACGCAGCAACCATACGGGTTGAAAAAGTGGAAAAACCGGTGCACATCGACATCAACAGGTAGAAGTTTTACATCTATATATATCAGATGTTTCACACACACACACACACCCTTCCGCGGGAGGGTGGGAAAATTAAGGTCCGGACAATGAGACGACATGAAAATGAAAGGAAATAAAGATGAGGTGAAGATGAAAATGAGATGAAAGTTACTTAACCAGGACGCGGAGAGGGGAACGCAAAAGAAGAGGGAGGGAGCAAACACCAACACAAGCAAACCTGGCCCAAAGCGGGCAAACCCTGAAAGGGCAAGGGAAAAGAAAAGCGGAGGCCGACGGACACGGAACAAGACCAGCGGAGGGGGGGAAGGACGGAAGCGCCTAAACCAACCTACCACAGCGAAACCTACGCCTACATAAGCACACGCAGAACCCTACCTACCTTTAGAGAGGAGAACACATGAAATAGGGGACCCATGGGGAACTAGTTAGTGAAACATCATGCATCCACAAGTCATGCAAAAGTCGTGATAAGGCCCAAAGGCCCTCCGCAGTCAAGTCACAATCCTGTAAACGGCTTAAGTGTTCAACCCTCGAATTACGTGCACATTTGAACCGTACCAACGACCATAAAAAGAAGAATCACCATACCTGCAAGCATGGCCTGTGCCTGGAATCCTCATGTTGCAAATGTCGACAGCTTAAAATGCTCGAGCAGTGAAAAGAAGGAAGGTTGTCGCGGCTGAAGTCTACCAACCTTGCAGTGCACTTGAAATGGTGGTTCCCTGGAACAGCGGGCAGCAGTTCAACACTCACTCGACTGACAAAGTGAGACCTGAAAGATGGCCGACTGTTTCACTTGACTTAAACGAATTACTAGGTTGAAAATTGTAAATTCAGAGATCAGATCGAGGATTCACTCTCCTACCTAGAAAGGTATTCCCCGAAGGGTTCATGCCACCGTGACGAATCCAGCACAAATCACACACTTGCTCAGAACAATCTTTGCGAATTCTGATGTGGAATTTTCTTACGTGCAAAACACTCCAATTACACCTGACAGGAATGGGTCGATGAAAAGACCCGAGAAAAATCAAAAAGTTAACCAGTGTTAGACGTAAAGAGTTGGAAGCTGACACTTCCCTTTCAACAAAGCCAAATCGTTCCCACCTTGACAGATTGCGAAAACCGTGCAAAATTGCATGACCTAAAAACAAGTTGTTTGAAAACGGCATGGTGGTTCTTGGGTTAGCCGCTTCCCATGACCAGAAAGTAAAAGTTCGCAGGTACGTCGGGATGATCAGTCCCGACATCCTCCCAACTCATGAGAAGCTTCGTTGGCACCTGCTATGACTGACAAATTGACATGACACAGGAGTTTGAAAAACGCAGCAGCCATACATGTTGAAAAAGTTGAAAAACCGGTGCACACCGACATCAACAGGTAGAAGTTTTACATCTATTCAGATGTTTCACGCACACACACACAACCTGCGCACACATTGGTGAATGATGCATCTTCAGAACTGGTTGAAAAGTTCTCGTAACGATGCACGGGTGGCGCGCGAGTCCGCATCTATTGGTATTGTTCCCGTTTCCAGCACCTTCGTCGATGGTCCCGTCCCATTAATGAGTTGACTGCTAGGTTAGGATGGAACGCCTAATGGTGTTAACTACGACTTAGTCCGGCAGATGGCCAACATCAGACAGTCATTAGCCATTCATAACAAAACAAATGCCACCGAATCTAACATAGATATACGTTGATGAAAGGTTACACCTCTTGCTGGTCGCGTTTCCGAGCTACGGAGCGACTTGAGGAAAACACGTTTGCGTGAAATCTGAATTGTGTCCATCAGAAGAACTGGGCATGCAGAGTTTTGGAGTGTACCACGTGTGCAGGTTCCGCTTGGTGACATGCAGTGGTTGCCTTGCAGCAATTTCTGGCAGTGTGCACTTGAACAGTGCTCAAAACCCCTATTGGTTGATGATTATACGGGATTATTAGGGGAATCCCTATTAACCAACCAGCAGAATGGAATGACAAAGAAATTTTGAACACTGCTCACTTTAAGTTTTCTTTTGCCTTTTGAGGTTTTTGCGTGCCATGATCACTGGCTTTTGGTTTCCAAGGTTCGATCTGAACGCTCCAGTTGACCCGCAGCAGGCTGCGTTGCAAGCGGCATCCATGGCCCTTTGGCTTAGACTTGACATGGTTTGCTTGGTAGTTTCAACATTTTTCACATATCTATGACATGTATGACCGTTCCATCACACCTGGAAGGTTATTTAGTCATTACCCACGTCTTGATTATGACCATCTCAAATGCGTACCACTTTGCCCACCTTGCTGACGATATCAGACGATGCATTTTGCTGCAGTATGTTCGTGCGAAGATGCATCGCAGTAGCTAAGGTGGAAGAGCACTACAGAGTCTGAAACCCAGCCGGAATTTCCATCTGCTGGTTTCAAATGTTCTTTATACATCTGATGTCCATTGATTTCCATGATCCAGCAGCATTTCCACTATCATCAATATCCACCATATAATGTGTCCTCAGAAACACTAGGAATTTCCATATATTTCCATATATTTCCATATATTTCCATATATTTCCATATATTTCCATATATTTCCATGATGTTCCAGGAGAAAATTGGGAAGTCATGATCTCCCAGTGCACTGCCAGTGACTTTTCCAAGTGAGACATGGCACCGGCCTCAGGCACAGGGTGATCATCTGAATGGTCAGGCCCCAAGGGCGCCAAGGGGATCTTGAGAAAAGATGTTTCCATCATCTCATGGTGAACATTTCTTGGTGTGGCAAAGGCATTTATAGATATTTATAGATTATAGATGATTAATGATGATTATAGTTTATAAATGTTTATAATCCATCCCCAAATGGTAGATTATGGTAGATTTATTGGGTTGACAAGTTTACCACATTGATTTTGCTTACATACTTCATGACTCTCCGCGGGGATCTGTTTAGCTTGTTAGCAACCAGCCTCTCAGCATTGTCATGGATTGAAACCAGCAAATCCAAGAACCCTACGACATGTCGCTAAATGTTGCAAAATGGTGAGGGGAACAGAGCCCAATTGGCACATACACACACACACATCTCTGGGTACTGTAGCGTTGGCTCGGCTGCTGGGCGATGTTTCATGGATAGATGTGAAACATGGTTAAGATGCAATTTTGCAATGTGACAGGAACCTAGGGTTACAATAATGTTACAGTATATAATATACATATACATATACATACATATATAATCATATATATATATATTATACGTGAGTAAGTATATACTTCATGAATGAAGCACTGAACACAAAATAGGAAAGAAACTGTGGTTGCAAACCTTCCACAGTTTGGAATGCAGGTGGATCTTTGGCAATCCTTGGCATTTGGAGTATCTACAAGTATCAAACATTGTTAGCATTGGAAGTGATGCGATGGGTCACTCCCTATGACATCATCAAAATGGGAAAGAGAGCATCTGTTTGAGACAACTAATCAACATTCTGCATCTATTTTTACCATCTAGTTCCTGATAGTTCCTGCTAAATTTATGTGAACCAGAACCAGGGCACCAGGGTTGATCCCAGTATTTTCCAGCTGCCATGCCCCCAGCGGTGCGCTGGGAGATTGTAGGGGGCAGCGACAAGGGAGGTATCCTGGTCAGGGAGGATGCAAGCACCAAGTCTGCTGAGCTGGGCCGAAGCTTGTACGGCAGTTCTGTGGAAACCGGTGAAGAGATGGAAGGGGTAACCCGGGTAGCTAAACATGGAGCAAAACAGTGAAGACATATGAAGACGGACTAGGAAAAATTGGCTAGTCATGCTATAGTTTTTTGGTTGAAGGTGGAGGAATAGGTCTCAGCACTTTTTTCCGGAGTAATTTTCAGGCTTGCCATGAGTCGGCCTTCCAGTTGCTCCCCTTGGGGATTCTTGGTGGTCAGGGCCAGGAGAAAGCAAACATGGAAACCCTCCCAGATAAACCGACCATGAACTGACTCAGCAACAGTCACGGGAACGTAGCGACGTAGCGGAGTTTTTCTCGTCCATCAGCATGGCAGGGTTTCCTTCTCAATTGGTTGGTCTAAGAAGTCTAAAATGACTAAAGGAAATTGTTGGACGCCTTGATGTTTCTCCGTGTTTCTCCATGGTTTTTCTATCAAAGATTTAGACTTTCAGCCGCAACTCCTGACGAGGCTTGAGCACCGGAGCCCTGGTAGAACAACTCCACCTGAAAGGCGATCGCTTGCAGTACAAGCTGCTGACCGGTGAAGGCGATCGAGTTGGGCGGTAGCGTTTAACCGTCAAGGATGTAACAGCGCACTTTCATAGGGGTTGATGGTGGTTGATAGTCCCTAAACATAAGGCCTTGCTGATGTTATGGGGGCTGACCAGTTAGATTGCAGAGCACCTGTTGGACTTAGGAGAATTCCAGCCTCCCAGGCAGCACCCTCTAGTACTCTAATTTGGAAATGGGAAATAATTAATTAATAACCTATTTGATCTTGCTTGTAGATCATTACTTCCATCTGCCCCCTTAAGAAATCCTTCCACACTTTCTATGCAGGTCCTTCGGAGGGTTGGGTCAGCGTGCAGCTCTCCGGCAAGCCGCTGGCCGTGCCCTGCAGAGATGGTGAGGCCGCCGCCCAGGTGCCCAGCAATGGCCACACGAACGGAACCAACGGAAGCAACGGAAGCAATGGAACCCATGGAACGGCGCAGACGCTTGAGGCGGAGGCGGCTCGGAGGACCGGGCTTTCCGGTTTGTTTAAACATGGCAATGGTTTTCAATCCAGCAATTTACAGTTGATTTCCCGGCCATTTCTAGTTGATTTCCCAGCTATAAACCCATAGGATCCATGTATGGTATATTATGCTAACATTGGGGGTATATTGATGGTAAATGTTACCATATATAGCATACATGGATCCTATGGGAAAGGCTATAAATATCGATTTTTGATGGGGATTTTCCACTCGAATGCCTTGCCTTGCCACATCTTGCCACCTTGGCGAAGGAAGCAATGGGCCACCTGGAGCCCCTTAAGCGACGGCGCCTGGGCCACCTTCCCTCGCTTTGGAGATGGTGGGCGACCGACCAATATGAGTGCCTTCAAGAAGGTAGGCCGGGGGGACATATTCGCATATACATATATAATTATATAATATATGTGTATATATTATGTATATACATATATAATGAATGATACTTGTATAATATATATATATATATCAATGATAGATACACTTGCAATAACCAAAACAAATGAGAACTTAACTAATACCAGATATTAACCAACAAAAACATTCAGAAATGGCCACTTAATCAGATATTAGCCAACAAAAATATACAGAAATGGGCACTTAACCCGAGATCAACCAACAAACATACACAGAAATGGGCACTTAATCAGATATCAATCAACAAGAATATGCAGATATATACAGAAAATTGCATTTAGCCAGCTATTAACCAACAAAAATTGGAACTTACCCAGATATTTTTACAACAAAAATGGAAACTTAACCTCAACCTGCAAAATGGGCATTGAACACGGTTGAAGCCGGAAAACTAGGGATATGGAAATGGGTCAAAAAGAGCGACCCCAACCAAAATACGACCAATTGTGTGGGTCCATTAGCATCACAAAAGGCGGTAGGTCTATGGATTTGAGCGAGAATGGGGCGTCCCCAATTTCACAGGATTACCGTTTCATCATTTCCCTATGAAGGTACCCTATTGGGACAAACGCACGTGATGAATTTCACGGTGATGGTAACTCCATCGAAACACCGGTGTTGGGGATGGTATGACACTGGGGAAAATTTAAGCATTCCCAAGCCATTTCTTACAGCGCAACTTTTTTCTGAAAATAAATCTTTGATAAGATGACCAAACATGTTGTAGGTGTTGGACAGTTGATAGGCGTCACAACCAAGATTTTTACCATGGTTTTTAATCAAATGTAATTTCATCATCCAGATGGCCAGATGACAGGTGGTCGGCGAGCAAGCCAAGGGCGAGTTTTGGGGCTTGGAGATGCCTCTGACACCTCAGCAGTTGAAAGACATGGGGCCTCAGTGGTTGACTCGGGCCTTGCACAAATCAAAGGCCTTGCCCTTGGACAACGCTGTGGCGCCTCGGCAGCTCCAAATGAAAGCGGGTTGCCCAAAAAAAAGGCACACCTATACATATTACACATTTATATAGAATAACATAATATATGTTTACAATCATATATGATATTATATATATATTACCCGCAATACACATATACATATAAATATATGGTGTATATATATATATATGCGTAAATCAACGCGCACACACACACATGTACTGTATGTTATGATATGTTACTGCGCTCCGGTTTTTTTGACTTCACCAGAGCAGAGACTTGTTTTTGTCAACGGTTGGGGTTTTTGAATATTTTTGAGACATTTGAAGCATGGCGGTATGAGTTTGACACCTCACAACCGCCAACTCCATCCCCTGGAGCACGTGGCTCAGAGCCCAGGTGGGTTTCACGGAGTTTGTGGTGAAAGCGGCGAACACCACCGAGTCAACGGCCTCAGAGGACCTTTTCAAACGGCCGAGTGAGTGTGTTCAACAATGGATTCAAAAGAAACACATTGAGCAAGATCCATTTTCAAAATCACGATGTTGGCTGGCAGCATTTGTTGCTGAACACGTTTGAACGATTTTTGCGGGTTTGGAACCAGGAAGCTAGCTGGGGTGGTGCGGGCATAAAGATCCTTCTGGCGGTGAAGTATAAACGTGATCCACAGGGAGATGAACCTGGCAAGGAGCGGGCTGCGCTTGGAGGTTACCCTGTGGTAATCAAACATGGTTTGCTGGAAAATTCCACATCCATATAATTATTGATGATTTCCCCATTACTCTACCTATTTGCATCGCAGATTTTGGCCTTTGATCTCAGGAGATGTTTGTGAAGATGCCCCATGAGTTCACAGGGAAGAATGAAAGGTTCAAGGTTTCCGCCCCTTGACTGCAAGATTCCCAAGGGTTGGTTTCAAGGGAACTTCCCACATCTTCCCGCCAGCCTACCTGGCATGATGACCCCAATTGACTTTCAGATGCTTTCATATGTTAATATATTTTGATATGTTTAAGGGCCTTAAGGGTGAAACTTCCAAGTTCCAGGTGTAGAGTAGTCACCAAAACAAAGCCCACCCCGCATCCTATCTTGAGGTGACTCTGAATGGAGACTGGGCAGAGACCATGTTCTACAATCTCCTGAGCGGCAAGCTGCCTGTGCGCACGCCTCGCATCTACTATGCAGATATGAATCGCAGAACGACCAACTTCATTTGGATCATGGAGCGGGTTCCATACGGACTCTTGGTCTCTTGAAGTTGCAGGCTTAAAGATCCACAATCGATCCATTGGTTGGTTGGTTCAACATGGTTCAACCACCATTCATGTCCATTTCCATTTCTACATTGTGAACCATTATTGTATATTATAGTAATATTACGGCCAGGCGCTGCGAGTTGCCCGGAAAGTTCACATGGCGTTGAAGCATGATCCTTCAACATGCTCAAACACCTGCGCAGGGCCAGGGTTTTGAGATTTCCCAGACGACGAGCCCTAAACCCCAAATCCTAAACCCCAATACCCTAAAGCCCTAAAACCTTAAACCCTAAAACCTTGAACCCTGAAAACTTTGAATCCTAAACCAGAAAACTCTCTGTATATGCAGTATTTTCTGCAATCTCTCCTATCTTATTCAACAACACCGCATCCTCAATGTTAATGTCTGGGCAACATGCGGTGTTTGCCAGTAATATTATATAATTATAGTTATAACATGTTATATAGGCTACCCCTGATAATCTCTGATTCATTTTCCTCAGTTCAACCCCTTTTTTATGGTGAGTGGAACAGTGACTTCCTGTCCCAGGAAGTGACTGGAAGAAACCACTGGCTGTCATGGACTTCCTACCTCCAGCTGGAAAGTTCTGTTGGCAGCAATTGGTGTGTTGAAAACTAGGGTGCTTCCGTGTTGAAAGCAGACAACGCGTCAATGGACAAATATATACAAATATGGGAAATATATGGAAATATATGGAAAATACATGAACATACCAACTTTGAATAATTCGTGGAAAAAACACATAAACATATGGGATTCCATAAAGTCTATGAGCGATTCTCCATAGCCAGCTTCACTGGAGATTACTGGAGGGCATACGCTAAAACGCTCACAGTTTGACAGATTTTCTTGCCATTTTCTTTGAGGTTGTGTTGTTAGGATATTTATGTGGGCCATTGTGGGCCACCTAAAATTGGCATTCCATCTGCAAAAGTCTAATATTCCATAGTCCACCAGATTGAACTTGATGCGTTTTATCCGTTTGCAATGACTCCTCGCCTTTTTCAGTCGCTTTTTCAGGTATCGAGACTGGGCAATCCCATGTGCGGAAGACATGTACTACGCACACTGCCGATGTTTGGCCAGGTTTGCTGGCTGGTGCCCTGGCCGAAGGTACCAGACATCGGCTCAGGTTGCACTTCTTAACTGCAGCATGTGGAGCTAAAGAGGAAAGCAGTGTTCTGGGATGTTATGGGCTATGGGCAACAATCGAGATGATTCCATGTCTCAATGTCCGTCGAAGATATAATATAGGCTTGTCTGAAGATGGGGTACCCGGTTCATCATCATCGTCATCATCGTCATCATCGGCATCATCGTCATCGTCATCGTCATCATCATCATCATCATCATCATCAGCATCATCGCATAATCTCCCCCATGAAGATAGCAATGTTGATCAGTTTTGCTGTTTGCCACACTTTTCGGACAACCCGACCCCGAGAAACATCTTTGCCAATTCGTTGCCTGAAGGTATTACCACACGGCGAAGTTCACAACACAAGTGGATGAATGCTTTGATAGCCCAGATGTGTTTCGAGTACAGATGGCTGCTGGGACAGCTATGGATACTGTCATCAGGCACTCATGAATGGAGGATTTGCCATCAACTAGTGGGCGTGGGCATTGATGGGTTGAAACCGCCAGCCAGTGATGAACCTCGATACTGGGTGTATTGTCATAACTTGGGGACTCCCAAGAGTTTCGCCTGGCCCGCACAAGATAGATACTTTTGAGATCTTTTGGGTCGCCAAGCATCCGAATCTTTGGAGGCACATGTGCAGTAATTAAGGCAAAACAAAACTGAGGCCCTTTTCATGGTGTCACGTCACATGTTCGTTCGTGTTCGTACATGTTCATACAATTTTCATGAATCAGATTTACATAATTAAATATATTTAAATGCATTTATACAAATATCATCCGCATCCAGCCTCTCAAGAATTGGAATATTTGGACTTGGGATTCGGGGCGGCACTGAGATGCTACATAAGAAGATGGCGCCTTTGAATTTGAAGCAGCGGGATGAGTTCTTCATGCAGTGTGCGGTTGCCAAGATGCGAAAAGGGCCACTCCACCAGGGGATGTGCCAAGTGTTGATTGAACCATATGGATCCATATGGATATAATGAATGATAATGATATGACTATCATGACTCCTGTTACAACGAAATACCATGTTGACTCATGTTGATCGTTGTCGTGGGAGCAGGCGCAATGACCAAGTTGACGCTTCATGTGCCTTCACACCGAGTAGAAGACGCCTAACTCATTTCAAGGTTAGTGGACCCTGCATTATTTCGAGATTCCAAAGGACATCAAACCAGTTTATTTTCGATCCTTTTTCAGCGGCCGATCTTCACCCATAGCCAAGAGGTTTGCAGCGCCAAGTTGGACACCATCAAACAGTTTAATCAAACATAATGAGGATTAGTGCAGTATTGGTCGATGGCTTCAAACGTGTAAATATGATATGACACCGTACCTAGTAACATACATGGACACAGTGATACATACACGCACACACACACACATGCACAAACGCCCCCTCACATCTGTATAATACAGACACACACACACACACACTACACACACAGACATATATATATATATATAATACAATATGACTTTATATTATAATAATATTAGGTATTATATATATATAGATGCATCTCCGTGTTATGCCCATTCATTTTCAATGTCTTTCCGGCATGCCTGGGTTGACTGGGGCCACACTCGCATTGTTTGAGGGGATCGGGGGAACAAGCACCAGCATTCCCTAAGGTCTTTCAGATCCCAATCTCCAACCATTCGTCAGCCAACAAATTCCAGCAGATGCAGCAGCGTCCTTCATCAAAATTGCAGAGGAGTTTGCCACGTACCTTGGTAAGCATATTTTGGCATTGGTTATGAGCCGTGGTACAGTTCTTCCCCAAATTGGCGGAGACACACTAAGCAACATCATTTTCTCCCTGTGAAGTTAAAGGGACCCGCAAAGAGGTTGATTTTTTGAGGCCCCCAATCTCTTTCGGACATGAATAGTGGGGAGTTTAGCATTTCAAGGTGAGTGGAATTGCCAAACATTGAGTAAATTCAGGAAGTAAGGCAAACTGATACATCCTAAGCGCATTTGGCTGCCGAAAATAGCTCGAGGGGCACTGGGTGGTTCGCTCTGGACTTGGCAAGGAAAAGCGCACCACAGTGCTTCCCTCCCAAATTCATGGAGAAGTCAAGATTTCAAAAGGCAATGTCAGAGGCAGTGCAGCCACCTCATGGGTTTTCTTGGGCAGGATCGATGCAAAAAAAACTACAGGATTTAGAAGGATTTCGGATGTAGAGGTCTTCATTTGGGCCAGTGCGCTGATATGCGCCACTCTTTGGGATGCCAAATCTCACCTTAACGGGGGCCGTTTGGCTAACCAAAGCCACCAACTAAGACTGAATTGCCTAGGCCACTCGAGCCAAAACTAAGAGTGTGAGATATGGGGTGAACATCCTCTTAGGATACTATTATGGCAACGGAGCCAGCGTGAAGTGATTTCTACATCTACCCCACAGAAGGGCTGATGAAACCCTTGGCACTGGGAGGTTCACCTCCCGATTGGTGACACGCCCCAAATCCTTACAGACGCTGCGGCAGGCCTATGAAATGTCCAAGTACATCCAAGAGATCAGTTTTTATCAGATGCTGATCCCG